GTTCAGCCTGGAGAAGAGAAGGCTCTGGGGAGACCTTATAGCAGCCTTCCAGTACCTCAAGGGGCTATAGGAAAACTGGGAAGGGACTTCTTACCAGGGTGTCTAGAGACAGGATGAGAGTTAATAGTTTTAAGATGGAAGAGGGTAGATTTAGATTAGACATTAGGAAGAAATTCTTTAGAGTGAGGGTGGTGAGAACTGGAACAGGTTGCCTAGGGAGGTTGTGGAAGCCTCTCCATGATCTTTCCTGGTACTGAGGTCAGGCTGACAGGCCTGTAGGTCCCCAGAACCTCCTTCTGGCCCTTCTTTTAGATGGCCATCAAATTAGCTACCCTCCAGTCATCTGGTACCTCCCCTGTTGACCAGAATTGTTGATAAATGATGGAGCTTCTCGCCAGCTACCTCAGCACTCCAGGGTGGATCCCATCAGGCCCCATAGACTTATGAGTGTCTAGGTGCAGAAGCAGATCATTACTTACTCCCAGATTATGGGGGGCTTGTTCTGCTCTCCATCCTTATCTTCCAGCTCAGGAGGCTGTAAACCTGGGGGAAGCTGGTCTGACCATTAAATATGGAGACAAAGCAGGCATTAAGTATCTCAGCCTTTTCCTCATCCTTGGTTGCAATATTCCCCTCTCCCCCGATTCAGATGATCTAGCTGATCTTTAAGGTCCCTTCCAACCCAAAACCATTCTGTGATTCTGAGCTGCATCCAAACTGCACTGCTGCTCCACTGTGGTGGTGCTTGCTGGTGTTTTTTATTCTGCAGGGTTGCAGAACAGGTTTTAATCAGTTAATAGAAATTATCTAACTTAGGGACACTGGAGAAACAAGGTAGGAGCTCCAATAGAAGCAGATGACCCTGAATTTACTATAGCCATGTTGCTTAAATACCAAAGGGCAACCTTCTCTTAGGGGAAGCCTGAGTACTGCTGAAATCTAACACCCCAAATCCAACAGTACCATGGTCATCTAAGCACAGGATGAACTGGCTGTGAAATTTGGGATTAGTCAGTGATGCTGCTTGTACACAAGTTTTTAAAATCCTTTGCAGTTGTGAGTGGCACCACCTTGTGCTGCCAGTGACTGGTGTAAGCGTGACTCAGTCCTGCCTCATAGCGGTACAGCGAGACACACCCACCAATCTGCTCTGAAAGGAGCTGTGTGCACCCACTCCTCCTCCCAGCACTGCTCACAGGCAGAACAGCAAATTCCAAACCTGAAATCTTGGCCAAGAAAGAAAGCTGCTGCTGGCCACTGACCATGTGTCAGAAGTGATATGCAGAGGCTGGGGGCAGGATGCTGCCCTTGGCTTAGTGAGCTGGGATAGGATGGCGGTAGGTAGAGGGGGGTAGTTCTCTTTCCACTGTTGTTGGGCATGCCTGGATATAACTGAGTTAAAGAGCAGGGAGGAAGGCAGAGATGGAATAGATTGGACCTTCCACAGCTGAAGCAAGCTTAAAGCAGTAGAAGGCAGCATTGGTTGCTGTAAGAAACCTTGTGGAGTTTGACAGTATACTAAACTACTTTAACCATTACCATTACAACCCTGTGAAACACAGCATCAAATACCCTGGCCAGTCTGTTTGGATCAGCATGAAAAGGAATGTGAAAGACCTTTTTTTTTTTTCCCAAAAAGACTTTGTTACAAAAATAAAAAAAGGAAAAAAAAAACACAGACTTTTTTTTTTTTAAGTATGAATTATAATACATTAGAAAGAGTCACAGAGGAAGCGGTTACACGCTGTAAACAAGACTAGGAATTAAAAATAATAGCAGATGGTAGCTGGGCTCCCAAAGTACGTGGCTGAGAGACCCTGACCTTAACTGCTATTCCAGGCTGGAGCTGGTCCCCAATACCAGTCCCTGTGGCTCCTGCTGCCTGCCAGCACCACAGCTACTCAAAGTGCTCAAACGAAAAAAAAAACCACCGATATCCCAAACCTGCAATGTTGGTCTTTAAAACTACATCAAGGGCAGTGACGTGAGAGCTGTCATGGGGCTGTGATGGCAAGGACAGGGGGAGCTACTTTCCTGAGTTTGCTTGCTCTTAGAGTGGCTTTTGTTAAGGGGTTGTGAGGCCATTGTAGGAGGCTTGGGCAGGGGTGCAAGTAGCTTAGGCCAGTCATTTGTCGTGCTCAGCTGTTACTATCACCTTTCTCCTTTCCTTCCTCTCCGCAGCTGAAGAGCTAAGGCTGGGCCACGTCCTGCCCACCCCTGCTGCCACAGACCTGCCATGGTTGCACCATCATCTGCAGCAAGAAGCAAAGAAGATCTGTCATCCCCTAGTAGATTATGCTTTGATGTGAAGTGAGAGCATCATTCCAAGGCAAGCAATCTACATTGCCAGCTCAGGCTACTTTACCCCAGGAATCCTTCCTAAGCTTCCCAGGCGCTGCAGGTTGGAGAATATCTTCTTGGGTGACACAGTGAAGAGCTTAGACATCTTCCCAGCAAGCACACTGGTGGGAACACACTGGTGGGTGGTGTCTGCTGGGTCCAAAGGTCACTAAAACCAGCTGGTGTTTTTCTCCAGGATTGGAGGTGACTTGAGGACCTTGCTGCTCATTCCTGTTAGGGATTGGAGGGGAGGACCCTCCCCAAATTCTTGTTGAACACCATGCATCAAATGCCATTGTACTGTGCATTTGACAGCACTCCAAAATTAGAAGGAACCACTTTTTAAAATGTGAATACTTCAAAACATCCCAGACATGTTGGGTGAGGAGCCCAGGTGCATGTGCAATACGACATGTAAAGGCTGTGTGCCCAAAATGATGGGGAAAATGTCAAATGGGCATTGGTGGGGGAAGAGGTCTCAGCTCTTGCACATGTAAGCCAAATGTTGAGATGTGTTAGTAGGAGTCCTGTATGTACTTCAGGGAGAGAAGAGGCTCCTCCAGGCCACAGAAACCAAGCCAAGAAGTGAACACTAGCACTCAGATGCTTCTCATTACTTCCTGATGAGCTCCAGTGGACAGTGGGCTGCTAAGTGAAAGACAACTTACACCTGTCCTGAATACTGGCCAGGTGTTTTAACAAATAGGCCTAACTACTGCATGGTTACTGAAAAATGTGCTGTAAATTAAAGCAAATTCAAGCACTGTTGTCCTAGAAAGGACCCATGGTGTATCAAAACACAGATACTGAACATTCATACAGCACTTCTTAAAAAGCAACTCAACTCCTCAACATCCCTGTGAGGTAGCTAATAGGGTTATCCCTGCTTTGCAGGGGGAAAGAGGACAGGCAAGGTTGGTCACTCAGCAGAAGATGGGTCTCTGACAGAGCAGGGGTTGCAAGAGAAGCTGAGGGTGCTGTGATCTGGCTGCCTTCATCCAAACAATGCTCTCTGCTGCTTACATAGACCTCAACATGCACACAAAAACAAACAGCACAAGCTGTTAAACCCCACAAAGAAGTTTAGTGGAAGTTTTCTGCTAGGCTTCCAGGGAGACTTCAGATCAGCTAGATGTTACTGAAGCAGTCTGTCAGATAAAAGTTTTCAGTGTCTCCTTAGAACTTTAAGGAGCTTCACCCCGGATATCTACTGAAGAGATAGGAATCCCACCAGCAGTTCCAACTAATTTGGCATCTGCAGCCACCCCTTCTGGACTGCAGAGTCAAACATTTAGACTAGTTTACTGCTGCTTCCATTAATCTCCCTTCCCGAGTAAGTCTGTCACATGTAGGGGTGAGGTATATACTGGGAACAGGAGTTTGGCCAGCTCTTCCAGCTGTCCCTGTACAGCTCCAGCCACGAGTTCAGGCTGTGCAATAGTGACACCTTGGGATGGGGAGGAGATGGCCAGACTACCAGGACTTCATGCATGAAGGGCAGGTGGGCATGTGGGCACCCATTGTTTTATCTCCTCAGCAGTGGGCTGTGATGACTTTGATGCTCTACAGCATCATCTTCCGAATCTCTGTGACCAGGTTTCCTTCCTTAGTTGTTGATTTCTGGGTGGGCTAAACCAGAAGGGCTAAGATCATATTATGGGCAATGTGCTCTTCTTTTCCTAGCTTCTATGCCCATTCCACCCTGACACTCAACTTGCACAAAATAAAAGTGGGCTTCAGCTTGGGCACTGTGATTAGACATCATCACACCTCTAGCAGCTTGCTAGTGAAGGCAGGTTTCCCAAGTCAGCTGCACTTTTTCCTAGTCAGCCAACAGAAAGGCAGTAAGCCTGCTTGCCACCTGGACCTGCAAGTTAAAGGCCAGCAGAAAGGCCACTCAGTCCAAGACACCAGGCTCAACCTTCATTGCTGCCTTGGCATCTTGAGATTTCAGGAAAGAACTAACATGTAGTCCTCCATTGGGGTGACACCAAGGAGAGCCCCCCCTTACTTCCCCCGCCCTGGGGGGGAACAGCTGTTAAGCCTCCACTCAGGAACACCATCCACCCCTGGGGCTGGAGCCAGGTAGAGCTGGGCACTGCTTTGTAGAATTGCATAGAGTCAGCAGTGGGCTGCCGTGCCCTGCCAGAACACCATGGGCCTGCCTGAAAATGCTGGTGCCTACAACTGCGGGTCTGGGAAAAGAAATAAAGATCAATTGCTACAACGGCCTTTGAAAACAATGCTGTTGGATGCACTGATCGGGCATTTTAAAGAAAGCAATTTTGGACTCCTATGCTTTGCACCTGCGTCCATGGCTGTGGGTACCCATGCTAAGCAGGAGCAAAAGAAAATAGGCAACACATTCACCAGCATCTCCCCCAATACATAACAAGGCTTGTGAGCTTCAAGAAACAAAAAATGAAAGCACTTTCCAATTTGTCCATAGGAAAGACACAAACCCAATTTTCTCGTGTCTTCTGGCGCTGGTGGCCACCTCTCCATCTCCTTGCTGGGTGCTTGTACCAAAGCACAACTCGACAGGCAATGGCTGCTATGCTGTCACCCAGACACAGCCCTGCTGAAAGGGAGGAATCCCAAAAAAAAAAAGGCAAATGTGCTGCTTCAGCACCCTCTTCCTCTCCTCCCCCTTATCCCCACTAAAAGGTCACCGATTTGGGCACTTTTGCCAGGGGAGAAGAGCCTAAAAGTAAACTGTTCTCTGAGCGGGATTTGGCAACCCGTGTTAGAAATGTTGTGCTGGGGCTCAGGGTGGGTTGTGGGGCTTTCAGTGCATTTAATAATTTCTGGAGGCTTTTTTGGGCATCTGCTTCCTCTGGAACCAGTGCAAGAGCTGGTGGCATTGAGGGGGCAGGCAGGGGATGTCCAGTCTCTGGCAGAGGCAATGCCACCTGCATTCTGTTTGAGTTTTGCTCTGTTGCGTGGGCCAGGTAGAGGGCAGTGGTGGTTTTGATAACAGTGTAAGGGCTGTTTCCCAACACTCTGGAAGACGGCACCTGGTGGAAGGGACAGCCCTTGCCCAGCCCTGCTGGCTCCAGCTCGCTGCCAGGTATGATGGGCATGCTGCCGCCTGCCAGCCCATGCACAGGCAGCATTCCCAAGCCCTCTGGCCAGTGTGCAGTACTGGTGGCGTTCCCTGGCCCATTCTGCTGCAAGCTGGTGAGCTCCCCTGTGGATGCAGCTTTAGTTGTCACGTGCTTCAAGTCTGTTTTGTCCAGCAGTGCTGCTCTGCAGTGCTTCTTGGCCTTTCCATCCCCATCCTCACTCTTTGGGGAGCCGTTGTGCTGCAGTGTGCTGGAGAGCTGCTGACAGCTGCCTGACAGAGGATGAGGGTGTGCATCGAGCACATTTTCTGTGCAGAAGGAAGATGCTTGTTCTCCCACCGGCAGGGCAGCAGGATTTGGCTGCCATGCCATGTGATCCATAGCGGAAAGCTCAGACATGCTCGAGTTGGGAGGAATTGATGTGTTTTGAAAAGAGGAGTTCAAGAAGCCATGCTCGGCTGGGGTAGGGAGAGAGACTGACTTGTGGTCCATCCTGGCATGGCTAGGAGTGAGAAGCAGCTGTTCCAGAGGCAAGACCGTGGGTGGGAAGTGATGGTGGCCTTGTGTCTCACTTGCCTTCAGAAGAGACTGTGGCTGCCTGTCCCTTGTGGATTCCACCCCACCCTCCTCTCCCAGCACCCCCCTGCTTAGAGGGTGCAGGTGGATGTCTGTTGCTTCAGATACTTCACTGCCACAGAGAGAGGGAGTCTTCAGCTCCATCATTCCTCCCAGTGTCCTGGGACCTCTGTGGGGATGAGGCTCCCTGTCCAGGGAGTGCTCACCCACCTGGCCATTCTGGCTGTTGGCTGCCACATTGCCCTTCACGGCTACTGGGTTGAGGGAGAGCTTCAGGCCCAGGGGTTTCCGTGGGAATTCCTCAGGCTTTGCTGTATTGGAAGCAGAGAAAACAAAATAAAACCCAAACTGTGCATCAGTTGACTTTTGCATCCAGCATGCCCTGACCACGGGAAGACAGATGTTGCACCGAGTGGGCACCAGCACTTTGGGGCGGCCCTGGCTCCCAGCTACACCAGAGTGATGCTCTGGTCCCCTGGGCACATGACTACCACCAGCCATTCCCACTGGGATGCCCACGTTCCCCTCTACCCACCTGGTGGTGGAAGGTCAAATTTCATCTTGCGCAGTTCAGTCATTGACACCTGCAGTTGCTCAATGACAGCATCATCCTCGTACTGCAGGGAACTGGCAATTTTTTCCTGCAGAAATTCCCGTAAGTCTTCCAGCGTCATCTTTAGCAAGCGCTCTGGGGGACAGCAGAAAAGAGTAATGACAGCACATTTCGGGCCATTTCTGGAAGTTCTCATCAATGCCTCTAGGAGGAAGAAAAGCTCCATAAAATAGACCCCCGAGTGTGTCAAACTGAACGGCCATTGCTGGCAGCTGCCACCATCAGCCAGGGATGCTCACCTGCACCAGCCAGCAGGCAGGCATGCAGGCAGAGGTGTTGACCCACGCCAGGGATGCAGGCAAAGATGGCATGCAGGTAGGAATTGGATGCAGGCAGGAATGGGATGCAGGGGGATGCTGATCCACACCACACATTCCTCAGCGAGGAGAGATTATTTCACTGCTAGGCTGATACTTCTCCCTGCCTGCCAATTTCCCAGTCTTTGCAGATAAACAGGATACTTAAAGATGTATTTCTGGATAGCCTGTTCTTCAACTGAAGGAAGAGCAGAGTTGCTGTTTGCAGAAGCCAACAAATGCAGTCCCATAAATCCCACTTGCCCAAAGGTTCCCAGCATGCAATATCAGCACCACTCCGGTCCCAGATTAAATACGTCACAGGGCAACAAAGCAAAGCTACCAGCTTATGGGAGTGGAGGCGTTCAAAGTCCCAAAGATCTTGAGGCAGAAACACTGCTGTCTTAATGGTATGTAGGAAAACCAGGTTTTGGTCACTTTAGAAGTATATTAATGGATTTATTTTCCCCTCTACAGCCTCAGGGGGAGGCTCTACAGGCTGTAGAGGGGAAAATAAATCCATTAATATACTACTGCCATAGAGCTTTGTGGATAGATGGGTTGCTGTCTGTATTGCCCCTAAAAGTATGTTGATAAAAGATGCAGGGCACAGCACACAGAAAAGCAGCTGGGAGCATTTCAGGTGGGGTTTGCTATGCAACCAGATCAGAATTTCAACCCTTGCAGCATCTGTCTTTCCTCCCTGGAGCACTGGCATAAGACTGTGTCCTTTGGGGCACTTTGGAGCAGGCTGGTAGTGGCCAGCAAGTCTTTCCAGGCTGGCAGCAAAAGGGTGGTCCAGCACAGTGCCACCTTTGCCATATGAGGCACGCTCTCCTGGGACCTTACTTTTGTGCAGTTTGAGAATGGTGTAAGCCATGGCTGTCAGCACCCGCTCTCCTTCCAAGATGTAGATATCCCACAGCCGCAAGGTAAGGGTGAAGGGGGTCTGTTTCAAACACAAAACCAAAAAACAAGCACATCATGACACAGAGGTTGGTGGCATCGCTACAGCCCGTCACACCAAAATGCAAAACAGGGCAAGGCATTAGATGCCCAGGATTCATCTATAACACAAAAACCTATTTTACTGATTATGGTTTTGCCTTATAGCTAACAACCCTGGGTGGCTGAGAGAGTACTGAAAACTTGGCCGCCAATAGAAAATAGAGAAACTTTCTGCACAGGCATACTAGCACATGGATTCTCCTACCCTGGAGGGAGCATCATCATCATCTTTAAGCCTTGCAAACACATCAAACCACTCCTGTATCCATCCAAACTGTTAAAAAAGATGAAGGGCTATTTATGGGATAGGTCTGAAGGCCCAATGGTGCTTCACTAAACATTAAAAAAATCACTCCTTTGGTGTCTAAAGAAGTGGTCTTCCTTATACACAGGCTTATTTCTGCCTTCTAGGAAAACCTCTGCAAGATGTTATCATTTGCATCCCGACTCAACCTGACAAACAGGAGTGAATTGATATACAAAATGATTGAACAGGCCATCATCTCCCACCAAAGATTTAAGGCATCTCACTATCACAGAAATTAACACTAGTCATAGTGTGACTTAAAAGTTCAAATTTAGGATGCTGCCCTTACTCTTCAAGAGTTCGTCAGAACTGGCTGTTGCTGCTCTTTTATCACACATTACTGCAGTTATAGGGATTTTGCATTTTGCACAGCTTTTAGTGACAGACTGAAAAGCAGTGAGTTCCTTCTCAAGGATAAGAGATCATCCACTGCTTTATAGGAGATGAGGCAGCAGAAAATTGCAACTGGGGACATACAGATGTCCTAAACATTAGCAAGTCTGGATCTTGTATTCAAGTATGAAAGAAAAATGCTGCCCCTAAAAATTAAGTAGTCTTGGCTTAGAACTGGCAAATCAGCTCAGGACAAACCAGGGTAATTTTTTTTTTAATGCTTTCACGTTTCAGTGCCCAGCCTGCTCCTTTGCTGCTGCAGTGCTATTTGTTCAAGTTCGTACCTCTAGCTCTTCTTCTCCTTGTTATTTTCAGAGTCAAAGTGAGGTTAATTGCCTTTGCTGCAGTGCCAGTGGGCAAGAGAAAGACGTCTCCTGACTTTGAAGCTTATAACTGATGCTGTTGAGCCATCTCCCAGCAACCACTTGTGACAAGGCAGCAGGTATTGGCTTGTCATCATTGACATGCAGTTATTTTTAGCTTCTCCCATATAAATGTTTTTGCCTATTCAGAGTGTGCGTAATATCCCACCTTGTAAAATATTAACATCTTCTTCAAATTATGACACATTTTCAAACAAACAGGTGGATTAACCACGCATGCAAACAGCAGAACAGCAAAACACCCGCAGAGCATCCTCACCCGGTCAATGAAACACTGCAGGAACCACTTGGTTGTGTAAATCCCCGTAGTCATCTGCTCCTTATCCTAGGAGGAGAGAGCAGAGAGAGAGGCATTTCACCAGGCTGACTGCTGGAGGTTCAAGCAACTCATAGGGCTTTTGGGGAGGTTGGTTGTTTGATTTATTAATGCTGGGGTCTGGAAGCAGGATCTGGCTGCTGTTTGTCTCCCAACAAAGGCCCTGTTTTAAATACCAGTGTTAAAGCCCTGCCTTAGCTCTTTTCTCAATATATTCACTGAACCTGATCCTTGACAGGGCCAGACTTCAGCCACAACTTTGGAAAGGGATTTCTAGGAGAAGGTTTTCTAGCCTAATATCTAGTCCAGGGAACCTTCCAGGAACCCAAACCACACACTCCTAGCAGACCACCATTTTTGTTTCCATAGGAATTCCCACATGAGCCTCTCGAAGCACCACAAAAATTATTAACCCCAAGTATCCCACAGATAAATTCAGACCTCTGCAGTCAAGCCAGCCTTGCTAGGACTAACTCATTTGCATGGCATGGTTGCTGCAGGAGCAGGATAGCCTGAGAGATTAAGGAAAACTCTTAAAAACATTATCAACATCACCCTGGTTTCTTGCTTTTCTGTCCCTGGCTGATGCCTAGCACAGCACTCACACACAGCTTTTCTTTTTATGGCATGGGTGATGTCCCGGTCGGTGCCAGGATGCACAGTGTCCTGCATATGCACCAAGTCAACCTGACCTCTGTTACAAAGCTGCAAATCGGCAGGAGTGGGAAGATTAAGAAACCCATGGGATTGAAGACTAGCTCCAGGCTTTGCTTTGGACTAGTGCTGGGCACCTGACAAACCTGAGGAACCTGTCCTTGCGTTTCATTTATATGGCCAGAGCTGGCTGATTTGCAGCACAAAAGAAGAGCTGTTACAGATTATGGCAATTTAAACAGCTTTTCCTGGAGCCAGGCCACTGAGCCCCCTGGGAACATAAGAAACCTTCAAGAGTCTGGCCACTGAATACCAACTGACTACAGTAAACACAAGGGGGTCAAAAAAGGGAGCAGGTACTGCAAAAGTTGCCTAGACATTGAACTGCATTTGATGTGTCCAGCAGATGCTCCTCCAGCTACCAAATGGGATTGTACCATCTGCTAGAGAGAAAAACAACTGGACATGCCCAAGCAACAACACACAGCAAATCTTACACACCTCCTCTCTTTAAACAACAAAAAAAACATTAAATGCAAACACTTGGGGCTAATAATTATTGAAAACTCCAGACAGTTCAGCATCACCCTTCAGGCACTGCAGCTCATGTAAGAACACAATACAGCCTTGCTGCTGTATGCAACAACTCTTTGCTGTAGACTCTTGTGAGACTTCTTGCCTGGCTTTTCTAAGCAAGTCTTTAGATTTTGTAAGTTCTCACACTAAGGATGACCAGCAAGCCAAATAACAGAATCACAGAATAGTCACAGTTGGAAAAGACCTCACAGAGTCCAACCATCAATCCAGAAAAAAACCACCATACTCACTACAGCATGTCCTGAAGTGCCACATCTACACGATTTTTTAAATACCTCCAGGGATGATGGCTCCACCACCTCCCTGGGCAGCCAGTGCCTGACCACTCTTATGCTAAAGAAATTCTTAGTAATATCTAGCCTAAACCTCCCGTGGCATAAATTCAGGCCATTTCCACTAGTCCTATTGTTATTTACTTGAGAGAACAGGCCAATATCCACCTCCCTATAACCTCCTTTCAGGTAGCTGTAGAGGGCAATGAGGTCTCCCCTTAGCCTCCACTTCTCCAAACAATCGCAGTTCCCTCAGCCTCTCCTCATAGAATTTGTTCTCTAGACCCTTCACCAGCTTGGTTGCTCTTCTCTGGACACGCTCCAGCACCCCTACATCCTTCTTGTAATGGGAGGCCCAGAACTTAACACAGTACTCAAGGTGTGGCCTCACCAGCACAGGGCATGATCAGTTCTCTGCTCCTGCTGGCCACACAGTTTCTCATACAAGCCAGGATGCTCTTGGCCTTCTTGGCCACCTGGGCACACTGCTGGCTTACATTGAGCCAGCTCTCAACCAGCACCCCCAGGTCCTTTTCCACTGGGCAGCTTTCCAGACACTCTTCCCCAAGCCTACAGCGTCGCATGGGGTTGTTGTGACCCAACACTTGGCCCTGTTGAACCTCATACAATTGATCTCAGCCTGTCGACCCTGAGTCCAGGTCTCTCTGCAGAACCTTCCTACCCTCAAGCAGATCAATATTTCCACTCAATTTGGCATCACCTTTGAAGCACTCGATCCCCTTGTCTAGATCACTGATATTGGACAAGCTGGTCCCCAAAACTGAGCCCCTGGGGGACACCACTGGTGACTGGCTGCCAACTGGATTTAAACTCAATTCACTCCTACTACTGGCCAGCCAGCCAGTTTTTCTTCCTGTCTATGCCATGATCTGCCAGTTTCTTTAGGAGAATTCTGAGGGAGATCTCCAGATAGGTAAAATCCACAGCCTTTCCCTCATCCACTAGGTGGGCCAACTTGTCATAGAAGGAAATCAGGTTGGTCAGGCAAGACCTCCCTTTCATAAACCCATGACGGCTGGCCCCGATCCCTTGGCTGCCCTGCACTTGCCACGTGAGCTCACTCAAGATGAGCCTCTCCATGACCTTTCCTGGTACTGAGGTCAGACTGACAGGTCTCTAGTTCCCCGGATCCTCCTTCCAGCCCTTCCTGTAGATGGGCATCACACTGGCAAGCAAACTATTCAACTTGGCAAGAGTCAACTTGGCAGTCCGCTTAATAAGCGCTCGCCTCTCTGTGGCTGAAGCAGTCCTACACCATTAGAAATCTTTTCAGTTGTGCATCTATTTGGCAGAACGTTACACTAATTGCTTTAGCAGTAAAATGCAATATAGTATGGAAAGACTGATAGCAAAGAGATACCATGTGCTTCTTCAGTTTGGGAAACAGTTTGCTTAAAATCTGCTCGTGATGAGCTTGAAACCTCTGCAGCTTCGGGAACCCAGGAATGAAAAAACCTTAACAAGAAAAGATGACAAAAATGGAAAATAATCAGAAAAGATCTGAATAGTCTTGGTAGCAGCCTGATTTTCTGGAAACTCATCCCTGGCATTGCCTGTTGAGTTGGCTGGATGTCAGCTCACCCAGCTATCTCCCTTGGCATTCATCCCAGAGCCCACTCTTCACCCTGTCTACAGACCCCAGAGACAGCACTCTCAGCACTCCAGCCCTGCAGTGCAGACGTGCTCACATCCCCATTGCCTGAGACTTGGTTTGGCCAAGACCTCTCTTTGTATCTGCCAAAGTTCTGAGAAAAGCTGGAGATGTTTGAACACCACAACCTTGTGCAGTGCCCTGTAATCTAGCAGGACACGGGTTTAAGACTGTCCAGAGTTACCAAGCCATAATTCCCAGCCCTCTGCTTACAGAAGAACTCTCTGTGCATAGATTACTGCTAACCACAAGTAAGATGGTGGAATTACATCTTCACAAAAACACAAAGGCACATAGCTCATGGCACGCTAAAAACAGCACACTACATGATGCTCTTGGATGTACTTCTGAGGGACTTCTTAAAAACTCATAACCTTGAATTAATTGCTAGCCAATGGCAAGGCACTCTGGTGAGCAGACAGCACCTCTGTGAAAGTGTTAATTCCTGAGTGCTAAAGCTCAGTGCTGATAAACCACATTTTTCTCTAATTAATCTGTCTGGCTCCAAGAGTGAAGTTCAGCTCCACAGTTGCGTTGCACTGGCACACAATTAAACCTTACTCACTTTAAAAAAGTATGTGAGGAGAAATGTTTCTACTGACCAACCTAAACAGGCCTTCCCTCCCCTTGAAAGAGCCCCTATTTTTATCCGGTCCCAGGCTTACCATGCATGGCATGCCGCTGGTTGGTCAGCAGCTGTGCCAGAGCCCAAAATGCATCCTCTTCATTTAAGTACATTAGAAGGATGGCTGCAATCTGGCTCATCCCTTGGCAGTAGCTCACTTCCTGCAAGAGCCAAAAGAGGCACATGAGCTGCCACATCGTGAGATCCCACCATGATGTTAAAGCTGCAGAAGCATGTCAGGTTGCCTATGCTTCCTTCTTTCCTTCTCCTCTTTCAAGGTCTTGCAGCTCTCATATGACTACAGCATCTGAGTCACTGACTCACAGAATGGTTTGGGTTGGAAGGGACCCTTGAAGACCACTTCATTCAACCCCAATCCTATGGGCAGAGATATCTTTCACTAGACCAGGTTGCTCAAAACGCAAATCCAACCTGGTCTTGAACACTTAAAATGCTGGGGCATCTGCAGCTTCTCTGGGCAACTTGTTCCCATCTGTCACCACCCACATTGTTAAAAATATCTTCCTATGTCCAATCTAAAACTACCCTCTTTCAGTTTAAAACTGTTGCCCCTTGACCTGTCACTACAGGCCCTGGTAAAAAGTCGGTCTTTCTTATGAATCCTCTTTATATATTGAAAGGCCAAAATAAGGTCTCCACAGAGGCTTCTGTTCTCCAGGCTGGACATCCCTAACTTTCAGCCCTTCTTCATGAGACAGGTGTTCTGGCTCTCTGACCATCTTTGCGGCTCTCCTGAGGACCTACTCTAAACAGGTCCTTCAGTGGGATGTAAGGGGCTTGCAGGCAATACCCCCCACCAATGCTGCTTCCCCCACCAGCCCTGCTCAAGCCTGGAGGGCTAGAGACAGAAACCCCAACATAAGAGGTGCCTGCAGTTAATGCAAGGAATAGTGGATGGGATGATAAACAGCATGTGGCTCCAACACTGTTTTCAATTCCTTTAGCCACTTCAGCACTAGAGTAAAGAATAAATAAATCCAGTAAGCATTTATCTGGTGTGAGGGAAGGCAGGGTCTTTGATTCCTTGACTACCCCTCTGAGCATCTTCTGTGCCTTCTGGGGTAATTGTCCTCTCCTGGAGATGGAGGTAGTATGTTCAACTGCTAATTTACATCTACCCTGCCCATGCCCTTCAGCTTAAAATGACTGGTTTGCTGTAAAACAATAATTGTTTTTAATAAGGAAGCCATTTAGTTTACAACAAAAAGTCAGAAACATGACGGACCTTCAGCCAGGAGGGTAGTCTTGCTGGAAAGCTGAAGGGCAATCCCTTGTTGTTTGCTTACTCCCACCCAGACCAGATCCACCAGATGTCATTTATCAGGTGACAAAATTAACCAGGGAATTAAACACCTGCACAAAAAGTCTTGTACTACCAGCACTAGGACTTGAAATTGGAATTACCATTGGCTAAATATATGTGTGTGTGTGTATATATACATAAGCAAACGTATACACAAACACGTATACGTTTTGTATACACGTATACAAAAACGTATATAAAGCCTTTAAAATACTTATCCATATAAAGCACAATGCTATTATCTTTAACCAGACTAGCTTACTACTTACAGTGTTATAAACCGAATATGCTGACAGGACATGGAAGAGTGCCTGTTGCCTGGGGAGAAAAAAGGATATTAAAACACTTGAGCATTAGTGTCCAGCTTTGTGCACACACCAACGCATGCACACAGAGTGCAAAAGGCTCTGAAAACACTTAGGCAACTGGCTTTTGCAAGAAGCAGGGCTCACAGAGCCAGAAAGCACCTTGATAGACACATGGGATGGGACCTCTACCTTCAAGAGAGAGTCACCAGTGACCCTGCAGAGCGGGGCTGAAGCAGAAGCCTGCTCCATCAGCAGTTCTGCTGAAGAGACATGTATGTACTCTCACATGCTGTGTTCAATACAATCACTCTTCAGATTTGGAGTGGTGGTGGATTTTTAAGACTTGCAACCTCCCAGGCTTCAAGTGTTATATAACCTGGGGGAAAGCATTACTACTATTTTATTAGTAGGCTAGTTTCTCCCTTTCCTCCTTGCTGAAGGAGTAATCACCATATTAGATATGCAGTGCTTCCTCACAGACTCTATGTCTCTGTAGGGCAGCCAGGTATAGCACATCCAGGTGACAAAGCCACTGTTAAACCTCTCCAACCCAATCTGTTGTGGAGGCCATGCCCCACCCCATCCAGCTCCTAGCAGACCCACCCCCATCATCCCAGCCATCCCAAACCAAGTCCTCTGCAACTGCAACCCTAGCACCCTGGGGGGCAAGGCACTGCAACAGGCTTATGCTTGGCTCAAGAACTGGGGCTGGAAGTGGACAAGTGTGGACCTTTCAAAGAGAGAATCAACAGCCCAAAGTCTGTGGGTTGTGTCATGTGTTAATGGTTTGTGGAGCAGGCAGAGATGGCTTTGTTCTCCTGTGAGCTACTCTGAGCTTCCCCAAGCCATCTCATCCAGGCACACTCATTGCCACTGATGTCCATACAGCCATGTGAAGCAGCCTGTACTCACTTCACTCCGTAGCGATCCCGAAACATGATGTGGTTTCGGAATGTGCGGTTAACATCCAAATCTATCTGCTTGATTTCCGATGAAAAGTTCTTTGCTTGCTCTTTCATTTGCTGGAAGGGAGAAGGGCAGACAAGAGGAAGGAGTCAGACACCATCTCAGCCCACACCTCCTCTCCAAACAGCGAGAAGGCAAACTTCCTACTGCAGGAGTGGCAGCTTGTGAGCTGAACAGAGCTATCATAGAGCAGCTCAGGGACACTGTCTTGCAGTGAACAATGATCTGCAGCATAGAGGTGAATCCCCAGCCCCTCAGCTGTGCTGCTGGCCAGGGAGAAGGGGACAACACCCCACCTAAACATGATGACAGCAGCAGCTGGCAACCCAGCCTTTGCCCATCTTCAAAGGCAGATATTGAGTTTTCAGAACCTAAAACCTTTACAATTAAACTCCACTCTGATATATTTTGAATTCTTTGCAGTACCCCACCTAGCTGTGATAAAGCATAAAGACCTGTGTTGGCACTTAAGGAACACTTCAATTACCAACATACAGATGTAAGAACCACATCTCTGAGCTCAGAGGTTCAATCATAATGAAGTCCAAATTATAGATGGACTCTAAGAAGTAATCTCCAACTACTACTTTCCCTGAAGAAGAGAATTATCTTATAATCATAGAATGATTTGAGTTGGAAGAGACCTTGAAGATCATCTAGTTCCAATCCCTTGCCAAGGGCAGGGACACTTCCCACTAGACCAGGTTGCTCAGAGCCCCATTCAGCCTGTCCTTGAACATTTCCAGGGAGGGGGCATCCACAACTTCCCAGGGCAAACTATTCCGGTGTCTTATCACCCTCACACTAAAGAATTTCTCACTAATATCTAATCTAAATCTACCCTCTTTCAGTTTGAAACCATTACCTCTCATTCTATTGTGTAAAAAGTTCCTCTCAAGCCTTTTTGTAGGCCCTTCAGATACTGGAGGCTCCCTAGAGCCTTTTCATCTCCAGGCTGAACAGTACCAACTCTCTCAGCTTGTCTTCATAGGAGAGGTGCTCCAGTCCTCTGACCATCTTTGTGGCCCTCCACTGGACTCTATCCAGAAGATCCATGTCCTTCTTATGTTGGAGATCCCAAACTGGACACAGTACTGCAGGTGGGATCTCCTAAGCGTGGAGTAGAGGGGCAGAATCAGCTTCCTTGACCTGCTGGCCATGCTTCTTTTGATGCAGCCCAGGACATCGTCGGTTTTCTGGGCTGCAAGCGCACATTGCTGGCTTCTTATCAAGCAGCATCCCCAAGTCTTTCTCCTCAGGACTGCTCTCAATCCATTTACCGCCCAGACTTTTTTTGTGCTTGGGACTGTCCCTACCCAGGTGCAGGACCTTACTGAAGGTCAGGGCAGACCTCATTAATTAACTCATCTTTATTGAACTTCATGAGGTTAAGCAAGGGCCCACCTCTCAAGCCTGTCAAGGTCCCTCTTGAATGGCATCCCTTCCCTCCAATGTGTCAGCCACACCACACAGATTGGTGGTGTCAGCAAACTTGCTGGGGGAGCACACAATTCCACTGTCCATGTTGCCAACAAAGATGTTAAACAGCACTGGTCCCAATATTGACCCCTGAGGAATGCCACTGCTCACTGACCTCCACTTGCACATCAAGTCGTTGACTGCAACTCTCTCTGTTCACCATTCAGTCAGCTCCTTACTGACTGATTGGCCCATCCATCCTTCCAATTTTGAGCCTGTATCCTTCCATTCCAACACTTCACTCATAGGTGTCATCCCACCACGCTTCCAAAATGAAAGATTTACTGAGTTTCCAATAGAAAAGCAGTTCTGGGATACTTCCTTGGACTGTTGCACTTTTTAAGGAACTGGTGGAATCCAGAAGAGAAGCTAAATTCAAAACCAAGAATTCTCATGTTCCCCCCATGTTGGCTAATCATTTAAGGCAGCATCACACAGACAAAGGACTGAAGTCCACTGCAAAAAAAAAGGAGATTCAAATCAAAGCTAAACCCACCTCAATCAATTGTGCCTTCAGAGTCCCAAGCTCAAGATGTTCCATGGATGAAGCCCACTGCAGTTCCATTTGTAACCAACTGGTTCAGTAATGTGCATGCAGGCAAGTACCATTATGATACAACAAAGCATCTCATCTCACAGCCTTTAGGTACCACCAGTGATCACACAATTTCCCTCCTTCTTGAATATCTCCAGGGTTAATTGCATTAATAAAACACATTTTGTGACTGTCTTCAGGCAGTCTGAGATTAACTAGCAGGTTAGAGGCAGTGGAGTTGAGCAACAAGTTCAGCTTACCTAGAGACTAGGGTCAGGATCCCTCCTTGCTCTCACAGGAGACAGAAAACAGCACATCTGCACAGAAACTTAATCATCTGCTCCAGTAGCTGCCATCCTGTGAATGCCTGTCATCCTGATACAACCTCTATACTGCAGTTGACCACCCAAGATGGTCACATAAGCTCTAGAGAATATCAGAAGGCCATTAGCACCCAAATGCGTATAGCACAGCAAACTCTCAGGGCAGTCATAGCATACTGGGAATATTAACTCCAACCTTGGAAGCAGTTGTATGGAGGAGCAACAGTACAGGGGCTATTTCGAGTTATTGCCTACACAAGACAAGGGAGGATAAAAGTGACAATGGAATGAAGATCTGATGAAAACATAATCTTCCTGCTGTAGGATCACAGAATCATAGAACTATTCAGGTTGGAAAAGACCCTTGGGATCACTGAGTCCAACCATCATCCCTACTCTACAAAGTTCTCCCCTAAACCAAATCCACCAACACCACATCCAAACGACCCTTAAACACATCCAGGGATGGTGACTCAACCACCTCCCTAAGCAGCCTATTCCAGTATCTAACCACTCTTTTTGTGAAAATAATTTTCCTATTGTCCAGTCTAAACCTACCCTGTTGCAGCTTGAAGCCATTCCCTCTTGTTCTGTTGCTAATTACCTGTGAGAAGAGGTAGCACCAGCACCAACCTCTCCACAGTGACCTTTCAGGTAGTTGTTGAGACTGATAAGGTCTCTCCTCAGCCTCCTCTTTCTCAAACTAAACATTCCCAGCTCCTTCAAGCATTCTTCATAAGATTTATTCTCCAGGCCCTTCACCAGCTTCATTGCCCTCCTCTGTACTCACCCCAGCACCTTGATATCTCTCTTAAATTGAGGTGCCCAAAACTGGACACAACACTCCAGGTGTGGCCTCACCAGTGCTGAGAACAGGGGGACAATCACCTCTCTACTACTGCTGGTCACACTATTACAAGCCAGGATGCCATTGGCTTTCTTGGCCACTGCTGGCTCATATTCATCCGCTTGTCAATTAGAACCTCCAGGTCCTTTTCTGCCAGACAGCTCTCCAGCCACACTTATCCAAGCCTGTAGCATTGCATGGGGTTGTTGTGGCCCAAGTGCAGGATCCAGCACTTGGCCTTGTTGAAGCCCACACCATTGACATTAGCCCAACGATCCAATCTATCCAAGTCTCTCTGTAGAGCCTCCCTATCCTCATGCAGATCAACACTCCCGCCCAGCTTGGTGTCATCTGCAAACTTAGCGATAATACACCCTGTGTCCTTATATCCTGTAAATCTTGTGCGTTCTACATCCTGTGGCCTGTTGCCCTCTATAAAGCAGGCAGACTACCTAAGACAAGATGACTGTTCATATGTACCAGGTCCTTTTTGCTGTGGAGCAAAGCTTATTAGCACTCCAAGTGTTCCCTGCAAGCCAACAGCAGAGCAGAGGCTGGGAAGATAGATGGAGGTCTTGTCCCAATGAACAAAACAGCCACGTGGGTAGAAGTCATGATGCCTCTGTTGTGCCCCATGGCCAGTGTGTTTCTTCTGTGACCTTCTCAGCTCTCCTCAAATCCTCTCGGTTGTGGCTATAAAATCTCAGGGAGGCAGAGCATCATACGCATGTTGAAACCAAGTATGGCACATCCCATGTTAGCCTTCAGGCTCATGCAGAATCAGGGACCACTTGAGCTGCCATGGCCTTGAGGAAGACTTGAAGACTTGCATGGAGAGGACTTGAAGGACAGCTGGGATAGGACAAAGCACTATGGAAGCAAATGGACCAGGCTTTTCAACTGCATCAGGTGATATAGGCACAGGGAGCAAGGCTGGAAAAAGCAGCTACTCCATTAGCCCAAGTGCAGGGAACAACTATTCTACAGAGAGAGCAGTGGATATAAAAAAAGATAAATCACCTGGTACATGTCAGGTGGCATGCTCAAAACTCAAAGCACATGCAAAATCCAGGATTTTGTGCCATGGTTCATTCCACAAGGAGAAATAGGTTGGCCTTGGGACCAGTCCCTCCAAGGCAAAGGGCTAGGGCTGAGGCTTGGTCCCTTCTTGAAAAGCAAAACCACTCACCCAGACGTGCACTGAGCCTCTTCTAGAGGATACGAGGGGAGAGTTAATTACGGGCGACAGGTGGCACCAAAGAAGGGGAAGTTTAAGATGAGCTTGCAGGGAGTCTACATACAGAAAAGCCTATTAGGCCTGAAGCTCCTGCTTATTGTAGACCCCTCTGGAGCACAGATAAACTCCTTGCAACTTTAATTTGTCTGGACTGCTTCCTTGCCTGTGCAGCACAGCTTGAAGGGAGGGAGTGTGATAAAAATCTGCATGCTGAGAGAACTTTATAAACTCTGTTTATCAACATGAGCCCAGCTTGCCTTCCCAAGCTTCTGCATGTTCATCCCAGCAGCATCTCACTATTAACATCTATGCTTGGCTCACTATAATGAGCATTAGCATCATCCTGCTTAATACACAGATTTTTTTAAACACCTGCTGAAAGTAGCACTTGACCTCTGCCTCTGAAGCATAATTGACTCCATGACACACTGATCGTCACCCAGGTAGGTACACGATGCAAGCTAAATCATAACACAGTTTTGGAAAATAATTTAAAACAACCAAGGGCTTCCACATGCTGCCTATGGAAAGAGGTCACGTAAAGGAGCCAAGATGCCTGAAATAAAACTTTTAAAATATAGCAAGTCCCATCACTTGTGTTCTTGTTCAACATATGCTACAGAACTTGTTTATTTTATACCAAGGAATCCAAGCCTAAAGCATGCAGGTAGGAAACAATACAAGGCAGGGTCTTCTGTCTGCAGAAAAAGTAAGTGTTTTTTAACAGAAAAAATATTTTTATTTCATTTGAATAGTGATTTTAAATAGAAAATTTCAAGGTAGTTACAAAAATTGAAGATTAAAAAAGCCACTTCCATTCAAGTTCTTCCAACGTTGCCAGTCAACTTCCAGCTGCACATCTAAGTTGTAATCCAGGGCCCTGTGCTCTCATGCCACCCTTAATTTGGTATCTTGACTAATGACTCACTGTCAGCCGATTTAAGGCTTCTGACTTTGCTGCACATTTCAAAACACCCTGAATGAAATTTTCAAGCACTAAGAGAGGTCTGGGGTAACCCCATCCAGCACCTATCTGCTGCAGGGTTCTGATGGCTACTCTGCATCACTCCAGGGAGCTTGGGAAACTGTGAGCAGTACAGTCGCTAAGCTCACCCTCCCCTGCATCTTCGCCTATGGATTCAGTAACATCAAATGCATCTTTAGTTGTGGCTTACAGCAGAATAAATGGAAGCACCATATTAGGGAAAGCAGCTGTTGGGTTGGGCCTCACCACCAGTACATGTCAGAACACCCCTTACGCTACTACCCTGCAAGGGCTGGGTGTCCCCCACACATGCCTCTTCAAGCATCCCCACAGGAAATCCCTTTCCCTCCTGTCCGTGCAGGTAGAGATGGACATGCCTGCATCCACCACAGGTTCACTTGCTCCAGCCAGGGAAGCCCCACCAAACCAGCTTCCCCAACAATTGCTCCCATTGTCTTTTACAGGAAAAGCCCATACCTCATATTTTCCTTCATTCTCCTTCTTCATCTTCTCAACGTCCAGCAGAAGCGACCAGACCTGGCCTCGCACCTGAAGTGGGATCCCTTTGTACACTCGCCGGCACATCTGCAGGGAGTGAAACACATGCAAGGTTTGCTGGTCCTGCTGGAGGTAGAACAGATTCGCTCCATCATTTGCTGCTGCAGACCACTAGCCATATGAAAAGACACACTGACCTTCTCTGTCTGTGCTAGTGCAGAAAGGGCATCTTCTACTCAGACAAAATCAAGCCACGTCTCATACTTTTAATCTTACTGGAAGAGCCCATTCCCACACAGCCTATTCCCTTTATATGTGGAGATATCTCAGATGCTTCACAGTGGTTCCATGCACACCAGCCTGCCTGCCCTTAGAACCCTCTCCAAGGACCAGATGCAGCACTCTTGTCTTTGACAG